GGAATTAAATAAATCATCAAAATAAATTTTGATGATTTATTTGAAAGAGAAGAATAGAATCAAAATTTATTTTATCCCATTATTTCTCACATAAACCTTTATCCTAAATGTTGTTAGAATGTATTTAATATTTGATTAAATCAGGAGTTCAAACAGCCCAAAACAAAGGTTCAAACAGCCTAACACAGCAGCAGCCAAAAGGTTCAAAAGGTTCTAGTGAAAGATATTCAAATTTGTAATGATGGAGTAGAAGATATTCAAATTGGTAATGATGGAAGTACAACGGCTATAAATGGCTATAAATTCAAATGACTACAACGGTTATAAACGGTTATAAATTCAAATGAATACAACGGCTATAATTTTCATTATATATACCAAAGCCTCTAATGTAAACAAGTTACAAAAAAATCTGAAAATATTCTTTGATCTATAATCACTCACATCTATTCTGAGAAATTATACACTGAGCCTTATACCTTTAAGCCCATCTTTCCTGTGTGAGATTTACAAAAAAATTAAATTTTCATTTTATATATCTATCTTTGAGAGATATTTATAGTAAACTTTCTTTGAAAGCAAAAATATCATTTCATCTTGTAAAAGTGTTGCAAACATTGTGTTCTTGAATTCTTAAGAGTGATTGTGAATCACGTAAGATTTGCAAGGGTTTGGACTTGTGAAGTCTGTGTAAAATCCCTGGAGGATTCTCCATTTGTAAAGAGGTTGCTAGCACCCCTGTGAAGCTAGAAGATAGTGGAAAATCTCAAGTGAAGCTTGAGGAGTGGATGTAGGCCGAGTTGAAGCCGAACCACTATAAATTTGTTTTTCTCTTTATTTTATTTTAAATTGTCATAGCTATATTTCACATTTTTACTGTGCTAAAATCATTAACTGACATAGTTGTCAAGACACTTGTTTTAATTATTTTTATTTCATTAACTATATTTATTTATTGTGCTAGTCATAATTTTTATTAGGGTATTATTAATTTTAATTGTAAAAACCTAATTCACCCCCCCTTCTTAGGTTTTCTTTTGGGTAACAATTGGTATCAGAGCATAGACTAAGATATTTAAATTTGTAATGATGGAGTGGAAGATATTCAAATGAATACAACGGCTATAATTTTCATTATATATACCAAAGCCTCTAATGTAAACAAGTTACAAAAAAATCTGAAAATATTCTTTGATCTATAATCACTCACATCTATTCTGAGAAATTATACACTGAGCCTTATACCTTTAAGCCCATCTTTCCTGTGTGAGATTTACAAAAAAATTAAATTTTCATTTTATATATCTATCTTTGAGAGATATTTATAGTAAACTTTCTTTGAAAGCAAAAATATCATTTCATCTTGTAAAAGTGTTGCAAACATTGTGTTCTTGAATTCTTAAGAGTGATTGTGAATCACGTAAGATTTGCAAGGGTTTGGACTTGTGAAGTCTGTGTAAAATCCATGGAGAATTGCTCCATTTGTAAAGAGGTTGCTAGCACCCTTGTGAAGCTAGAAGATAGTGAAAAATCTCAAGTGAAGCTTGAGGAGTGGATGTAGGCCGAGTTGAAGCCGAACCACTATAAATTTGTTTTTCTCTTTATTTTATTTTAAATTGTCATAGCTATATTTCACATTTTTACTGTGCTAAAATCATTAACTGACATGGTTGTTAAGACACTTTTTTTAATTATTTTTATTTCATTAATTATATTTATTTATTGTGCTAGTCATAATTTTTATTAGGGTATTATTAATTTTAATTGTAAAAACCTAATTCACCCCCTTCTTAGGTTGTCTTTTGGGTAACAAGGCTTATGGGTAGGAAAACTGCAAAAGAATTATTTCGGAGAAATCAAGTCGTTGAAGTTGAAGTCCAAAAAATGTGCATACAATTGGAGACATTTAACCAACACCTTACTAAGAAGGAAAATAAAAAAATTGAAAGAGAAGAAAAAATGATTCAAGCACTGCAGGAGATGAAACAACTTGAGATCAAAAGACAAGAACATGAGATCAAAAAGGAAGAACATTTGATAATAACTATGGACATTTCTCATTTGGACCCTTAGATAAAAGCGTATTACACAATGCAAAAAAATGAGATTTTCACTAAGTGGTCTACACACGTCAGCATCTCAAATTACTATTTTTCCTGCTTCCTGTTGAATAATTATGGGAGAATGTATTTTTTAATTTTGCAATGTTATTTATTTATTAATGTAATTGTTATTCTTTATTTGTAATGTCATTTTTATTTTGTAATGTAATGTAGTAATCCATTTATTTTTAAGTATTTTTTATGTTCCAATGTAATTTTATTTTTGCAATGTATAATGTTGACTATTTTTTAGTATAATTTAAAATTTTCAATGTTATTATGAATATATATATATATATATGTATATATTATTTAAATGAAGACAATAAAATTGCAAACGAAGATAATTTTGATATAATAAAAAGACATTAAATGATATTAAGTGTCATTAACAAGATAAAATACAAACTTAATATAAATCTCCAGCTTAGGACTACAAGTGTTCAATTAGATTATTACGAATTGCATTACGGCCTTCAGTAGATTTAATCCTCTGGCTATTTAATATAAATTGAGCATACTCCTGATTTGGATCGCGTGACACTTGACATGGGATATTACTGTGATCAGTTTGCACTAGTGCTGCACTGCGTTCATTTCTTAGAATATTACGCTCATCTTCAATGATCATATTATGGTGGATGATTGTTGGGTGAATGAATGTTGGGTGGGTGTAGGGATGACAATGGGGGTTAATGGGGTGGACATTAATTCCCGATTCCCATTCCCCTATAATTATTTTTCCCTATTCCCCATGGGCATTACCCTCCTAATCTTCTAATGGGTTTGGATTTTCCCTAACCCAACTTAACCCTTTTTTTTGTCCCACTACCAAAGCTAAATATACATTTAATCTTATTTTATTTTATTTGGCTCAAAAACAAAATTAAATACACATTAATTAACATTGTCACATTATTATTATCAATTTTTTTGCATATTTAGAATTTTTTAAATTTATTTAGAAAAATTCTATCCTTACAAAAAAATTCCATATTCTTTTTTAATTTTTTTATTTTTTTGTATCTCCTTCTCCTCTCTGTTCATTGATTTTTAATAATCCGAAGGTGAGTTGTTACTCTCGTTTCCATCTTCTTATTCTTATTCTTATTCTTCTTTTTTTTTTAAAAAAAACTTTATTTTCATTTATAGAATGAATTTTCTTATTTCAATATGTTCTGCAATTGTGTTGTTGGATTTTTCTCTGATTTGATGGTAACCTTAAATTGAATTTCTCAATTTTTATTTTAACTAGTAATCACCTTAATTGAAATTTTGTACATTTTTGTCTTCAATTTCCATGTTTTGGTTATGATTAATTGTGCATTTTTTTATTGATAATCACAATCTTGTCACTGCTAGATTGTCGCCATCACAAATCGCCGTTACTGTAGTGAGAGGATGAGAGAGAGTGAGAATTAGAACTCTAATTGTAAACAGAGTAGTGAAAACTAGGGATGACAATGGACAACTTACCTTGTGGGTATCTATGGAAACCCAACCCAAATATATGGGTTTTTCCTTTTTTTTTTGTCCATTGGGTAAGGTAAGTGATATTCTTTAAATATCCATAGGAGATGGATACTCACTAATTTGCCCATATTTTTTTTTTGTACATCGAAAAATAATTTCTCCATATGTTTTCACTACTCTATTTACAATTAGAGTTCTAATTCTCACTCTCTCTTATCCTCTCATTACAGCAAAGGCGATTTACGATGGCGACAATCTAGCGGCGACAAGATTGTGACTATCGATCAAAAACGTGCAATTAATCATAACCAAAATATGAAAATTGAAGACAAAAATGTACAAAATTTCAATTAAGGTGATCACTAGTTAAGATGAAAATTGAAAAATTCAATCTAAGGTTACTATCAAATCAGAGAGAAATCCAATAAAACAATTGCAAGAGGTATTGAAACAATAAAATTCGTTCTATAAATGCAAATAAAAATTAAAAAGAAAATAAAGAAAAAAGAAGAAGAAGATGGAAATGAGAGCAACAATTGGTGAATGAATATTGGTTGAATGATGGATAATTGTTGGTGGGTAGTTGGTGATTGTTTATTTTTTATATGTAGTTAATTTTATTATTATTTTTTTGTAGTGATATTTTTTTGATGGGGTGAATTATATTTAAGTTTTTTTTTTCATGTAATTTTTCAATTTTTATATTTGTCTACTCGAGAATAATATAATATTTATAATATTTTTTTTACAAATAATTAAAAAAATGTCACAAAAGACAAAAAAAATAAACAAAAATAAAATCACTAAAAAATCTATATCCAAATAACACCTACAAACTTGTTGGGAAAGTTGGTTGAGAATTGTTAAAATAACAAGTGACCATTGGAACACCATTTGCTATTATTTGACAAAATAGAAGTATTCATTGCCAAATTATAGCAATAATAATGGTATTATAATAACAACATTGGAGATGCTCTTATATTTTTATTTTTAATAAGATTTTTAATTAGATTGTTACTTTACACAAAATTATTCACTTTGTTTGGTTCTGATTTTCAGAAAACAGTTTTCAAAAAAAATTACTTTTTTATTTTTTGTATGTTTTCAATGAATTTTTTTGATATTTTATGTAATTTTTTAAAAATTTTTAGACACATCTAATATAAATACATTTAAAAAATATAATATTTGTGATTTTTTTTAAAAAACACACTAAATACCAAAAAATATAAAAAATATGAAAACTCAGTACAATTTTCATATTTTTATATATTTATTAATTTTTAAAAATATTTTTCATAAATATTTTATTATTTAAATATATCTAAAAAAATAAAAAAAATTACGTAAAATTTAAAAAATATTTACTAAAATAAAAATTTATCTATTACAGTATAAAACATCACTTTACAGCAACGGAATTTACAGAGTGAGAGAGAGAGAGAGAGAGAGAGAGAGAGAGATGTGGTTATGGTTTTGGGAGCTCAAGCCCAAGTGGGAGATAACCGACCCAGAATGAAAATAAAAAGTGAAATACAGAACGGAAATTGAAACGAGAACAGAGTGTTCTTTCCAAGAATCGGAAAAAAAAAACAAGGGAAAAGTGAAATGATTGTATGGAATTCAATTTACAAAGAAGAAGAATTGAAATAGTAGTAGTCTCACATGAAAACCATATCTTCATTCTCACTAGTCTTTGGTAGCAGTGGATTTGGGTCTTTTCATTGCTATGGTTATAGTTTTAGTTGTTGCAGTTGCTCCTCTTCTTCCAAGATTGTGGCCAAGAGTAGCAAAAAGCCCTCTCCATCTTCCCCTCAGGTGCTTTTCCTATTTGTCTTGTTTAGTTGTAATTATCATTGTTGTTGTGATAGTTGTAGTTGAAATATTTTCATGGCTAATTTCACTTTTTTTCCCTACCTTTTTGCTGCCTGTGTCATTTTAGGGCCCATTTGGGAACAATAAAAAACTAAAAGTCACTTTTTAATCCATCACATCACCTTTCACATAAATAAAATAAAAAATAAAAAAATTTCAAAAATGTCAGAAAAAAAAAAGAAGAGTAAAAAAGCTAGCTTTTAACCCTGGTCACAAAACACCACTTCTAAAGTTTCAATTGACTCAATTTTACCATTTAATTTTAGTTTTTGCGTCAATTTAGTCCAATTAAATAATGTCAATAGGGTTTTTGACAAAAAATTTCATTGAATTGGTTGAAGTTAAGTCATTAAATTGATTGTCCTAAACGTATGATACATGCCCGCTCATGTGCACATTTACTGTAAAAAAATGCTAACAATTAGAAGCAATTGGACCAATTTGAAACAAAATAAAAAATTCAAGATCAAAATTGATCTAATTGAAATTATAAGGACCAAATTGACACAAGGGTCAAAGGACTGACAGTGTAATTTACCCTTCTTTCTATAGGTTTGCCCAAGGGTATTTTTATCCAATGTTTAAATTGATTGTACATTACATTATGCACGCACTCTCATGCATTGTGTACAAATATTATAAGTTTCTTATCAAGTTAATTTAATGTGTTAATTTATAACTTACTGTGTTTATTCCCAAATTTAGTAATGTCAGAATTTAATGGGAAAAAATTATTTCGAAATTTAAACAACTTAAACCATGTAATCAAACACTCAGTTTTTTTATTTACTATTTTGAAATGAGCAATGGAGAAGCAGATGGGCATTTGATTGCAAGGGTCAGTTGTCTAAATAAACTAATATGGTGTGAGTAAGAAAATGAGTGTTTGGTTGTATGATTTTGAATTTCTAAATTCTTTATGTCTATTAGATTAGGTTTCTATGATGATTGTCTCAAATTGGACTATTTGAACTGAGATAAGAAACTTGTATACAGTGAAGAAGGGAAAAAAAAAGGAGAAATTGTTTGAACAGAGGCAGTAGGGAGATGAGCCTAATGAACCCTTATAAAATTTCATGGTTTCTGAAAAGGAATGAGATGTTACTTACTTCCTATTATTTGGTCAAATTGGCTATGGGGGTGGTAGTAAATGATGAGGTTTTGCGTTATGTTGTGCCTACAGACAAATGTCACATTTTACTATGAAGGTTGTGTTTGGTTTATTGCAGGATAACCACTTGCATGTCCTTTTTTTGGTTTACTAATTAGTTTTATCTACTTTGCCCTGTTGCCTCTTAGCAAGCTGAAAAGTAGGTACTGCTTTGACATCAATTTTCGACAAGCACAAAAATCAACACACACCTCTTTCATAAAGATTTCATTTATGAGCACAAAGGACAAGGGGTGGAACCCAAACCATGTAAAGCAGGGAGTAAGTATGCATAAGGGTACCAACTATAGCTATCTATGGAAAAATAGGTTACCCAAGAACTCCAAAAAAGAATCTATGGAAAGGGATTAGCCTTGTACAATCTATAATGCTATAGCTCAACAACACTTGTTTCAACTTATTAATTTAGGAGCTCCACTCCCTCAAAAGTCCTATTTGTCTCTTCAAATCAAACCTCATCTAGGATTAACGTAATTGGCTGTGGCTCTTTAAGCACTCTAGTTGTTTAAACTAAATATTGTATTGCCTATTGTACAATTGCACCATCTTTTTTTTATACATAATTTTTTGAAGCAAACAACAATGCTTCTACAAGAGAAAATCCTGAGCTAAAGGGTGGTTTGCATGCACTGTACCTGCAATTGACATATGCAGGTGAGAGTAAACATAAAACATATACGCCGATAAAAAAAAAAAAAAAAACATGAAATATTCAAGCTTCGATCAATGGAAATGAAGTACTTGCTCTCGTTTTACTTGCAAACTGTTACAAGAAAACCAGTACTAGCTTTTTGTTCACCTTTCCCAGTCATCTAACAATTATTGTAATACAACATTTAATATCCCAGCCAGATTATCAATAAAAAATTTTCCAAAATGAGAAGAGCTTCCCCATCTTTTGACTCAGAATTGTGGCGACAGTTGACCTTTAAAATGACATATTTCGACTCTTGTTTAACAAGCTTTTTGTTGATAGGGTTCTGAGCCAGCTCCGCCAAGGATTACATCCAATGTCAAGCAAAATTTGCAGTTTTTAAAGTTATGGAAGGTAGTTTCTCAATTTAGATATGTAAAGATAGTACTGAAATCCTCTCTCATGATGAAAGGAATGTTTTGTAGGAGTTTCAAAAGAGAAAGGCTGGCACACCTAAGCCTGCTACTAGTTACCGCAGAAAGAAGGAGGAGAAGGAAGACATCCCAGAGGACTCACAGCTCTATCGTGATCCTACTCTGGCACTTTACAAGTAATATGATTTCCAGGTTTTGCTATATTTCAATTATATGCCTTTGAGCTATTTGAAAAGGTAGTATATGCCATTCGTTGAATTTGATTCGCAGCACAAACCAAAGTATAGACACTGCAGTTCCTGTCTTGCTTGTCGATGGTTATAATGTATGTGGCTATTGGATCAAGCTGAAGAAACATTTTATGAATGGAAGACTTGATGTTGCTCGCCAAAAGCTTATTGAGGAACTGGAGACATTCAGTCTGCTAAGAGGTCTGTGCTTTGCTTGTTTATACCCTTACATGATGACTATATGCTGTGAGAGTGCCTATGTAATCTAATGATGTCACTATATCATCTGAGATTGTGATGTGCTTATTTGCTTTTGCTGGCTTTAGGAGGTTTAAAAACTTGTACCTCTTTCTTTTCTTTTTCTCTCAACGGAATGCAACTTTTAATCAATTGGGTTTTTTTCACTTGTAACTTCCTTCATTACCAGCTATGAAGCACGGGTGCGGGTACGGATATGGGTATGGGTACGCCAATATGGCAAATTTTAAAAAAAGTAAAGTACGGGTACGGCTGGGGTACGCCTGGGGTACGGCAATTTGTTTTTATTTTTATTTTAAATTTATAGCTAAACATCCAACATACAAATTAACGTTCAATAACATAATTAAAAAAAGAAATTACACAAAAAAAAAGAAAAGAAAAGAAAAGTAAATCATTCTTCAACAATATCAATACTAAAGTAAATTGACGAGCTATTTTAATGTCATTATTACATAGAAGAAATTAGAAAATAGAGTTTCATGCCAAAAACAAACTAAACAAAAATAAAAGATAACCCTAATAAAATTAGAATACTTAGAACATATACTTTTAATTCCATCAATGTCATCATTAAATAATATGGCTTCCATCTTCGGCTCATCAAATGAAAGATTTGCAATTTCTAATAAACCAAAGCCCTCCCATGAATTAAAAGCATCTCCACCAATGTTCCATAACTTGCTCTCCTTCTTTGTATTGTTGACTCCTCCTTGATAGAAGGCGAATATTAGAATGCATAAAAACCAAATCCTTACATCGTTGTGAAGTCATTTTATTCCTTCGCATGGAGTGAATGAAAGAGTATGTGCTCCAATTCCTTTCATTGCTAATGATTGGAGCATAGGTGCAGAAGAGCCATGTGTGAATCACAAACCATTGGTTCCATTTCTCCTCTATCACATATTGAGTCGGTGTCTCCAAAACTCTCCAAAAAACCTGAAAATTTGGCATACTCTGTATTCACAGCCCTTCTCTCTTCTGCATTTGGAAAGTATTTCTTAAAGCACTTGGTTCTCATATCAGAAATTTCTTCATCCTTGTGAGGAGAAACACGAATGGGATTTTCATGAAGCCACATTCCACTATAATACCTAGATTGCAAAATTAGGGAAAATAATAAATAAAAAGTAAATTATGTTAAGTTATTATATTAAGAGTTTAAATCATGTTAACTAAATTCTATCCTTTTCCCATCTAAAAAAAAAAAGAGTTTAAAAATGAGTTAGACCTCGGATTAAAGAATGTGTGAGACAATGAAGTGGTGTACTACTTTTTGTCCATCTCTCCACTAGTATTTGGTGCACCACTGAATAGAAAGCCGACTCTTCATTTTCTAACTTTCCTTCACGCCTATAAATGGATGCCTTCACCCTCTCAATCATTAAATCCCACATTTCATAGACCAAATGTAAACATGGCTTATTGGTGTCACATGATCTAAGCATCTCATATATTGACAAAGTAAATGAGTGTTTGTATTCTATCTTGTCCCACCAAATATCATTCAACACTTTTTCCTCAACAAGAGCTGCTTTTCCGACATCATCTTCTTTGTAGGATGACCATTTCTCACTTATCACCATTGTTTGGAGGCCACGATATATAAGCTTAAACCTTTTTAGCATAATAATTGCAGATGCAAAACGTGTATCCACAATAGAAAGTAGCTTCAAAGGTACAAACTCATTGAAAATTGCCAATCTTATAGAATGATTCATGATGAAATTTTTTATGAACATCACATCATCAATCATAGTTGTAATCCAATGGCATTCATCATAAGCATATGCAACACTTCCAATTTCCTTAGTAGCACAAATATTTTTAAGAGCAAGATTAAGTGTGTGCATTACACAAGGTGTCCAAAATATCTTCGGATAATTACCTTGAATGATTGATCCAGTTGCACTACAAACAGCAGCATTGTCAGTAATTACTTGAATCACATTATGAGGGTCTACTTCATCAATCACCTCACTAATTAATTTAGCAAATATGATACTTGTCTTTGTACTCACCTTCACAATTAACAGCTCTTACAAACATAGCTCTACCATCAGATGCTGCCATGAGATTGATAAGAGGTCTCCTTTGTGCATCGGTCTATCCATCGGCTACTACACTAAACCTCTTTTGATTCCATGATTGTCTTGTTGGTTCCAACAACCTATCAATATTTGCTCTTTCTTTTTGAAGTAGAGTAGTCCTCAATAAGTTGTAACCAGGAGGGACATACCCTATAATTTGATTCTCAACAGCAACGTTAAAAGCACTCACAAAATATGGATTCCTAGCCAAATGAAAGAGTAACTCAGCTGAATAGAACATGCGAGCAATTAAAGAATGCAAATGTTCTCTAGCACCTTGATTGCATGCTTTATCTAAGACACTACTTCCACTTGTCTTTCTTTTTTTTGGTTCATAACCATCCAATCTAAATGTTCCAACATCCCCTACCACCCCTACGCTAGAACTAATTCGGGAAGAGGGAGGTGGTAAAGGAACATCTTTAGGTTTTGCCATCTTTTTCCTATTCTCAGCTTCTGTATCTGCCTTTCACATTTCAACAAAAAGATCAGGCCTATTCTTCACAAATGCACACACTCTAATTCCATGTCCAAAAATTAGCAACAAATGTGCTTGGACTCTAGAGTATGAACCTTGAAACTCATTATTACAATAATTACACCGAAATTTGGTATAACCACTTAAGCCTTCACCCCTTTTGGCTATTTTCGCAATGTAACCCCAAAGAGGAGCATTTTCATCCCCAGTTTGATCAGTATCAATAGAAAGGGCACTTGTAGGGGCACTTGCATTTGAACCTATACTTCCTGATGAACTCATATTCCTATAATATAACCATTAACAAAATAATTTGTGAATTATTTCACTTCATTCGAGTATATAACATTTCAAATATTTAACAATTTTTTTTATTGTGTTTACTACATAAAGTCTACAACAATAAGAAGAGGACAAAGTTAAATAACAGAGAGGTCATTTTACATTACCCTTTTTTTTCTTTCTTTTTTTTTTTCTTTGAAGACAATTACAGAGAAGGTTTTAAAGACTTGCAAGTTGCATGAAATTCCAGTGGCTGTGGGGAAAAAAAATATAAAAATATATATATATATATATATATATGAAAAAAAAAATGAAGGAGAGTTCAAGAAAAAGGAAGAAGAAGAAGGATCAAAGAAAGAGAAAATTGAAGAGGAAAGAAACGAATCAAAAAAACGAAGGGAAAAAAAAAGAAAAGAAAAAGAGGACAGAATAGATCAAAAATCTGGGAAAAAAAAATGAAAGAAAGAGGAAGAAGAATCGAAGAAAAACGATGGAAACAAAAAAAGGCCTCTTCGTTCTTTGTTTGTTGTGAAGAAGAGAACAAAAATTCGGGAAAAAAAAAATGAAAGAAAAAGGAAGAAAAATTGAAGAAGAAGATGACGAAGAATCAAAGATAAACTTACCGGAATCAGCACCTTCGAAGGAGTTTCTGTATTTCTGAGAAGGAGATGATCGAATGAAGTAGAAATCGAAAATCGAATGAGACTAGGATCAGCACCATTTCTCTCTTTGAAGGAGTCTCTGTATTTCTGCAAAGGAGATGAGATGATCGAATGAAACCAGGAACCCTCATTTTAATTTGTTTCAAGTTTTATTTATTACAAAAGAACCCCAAATTTATATAATTTTTTAAATAGACTGTAGAAATTTAATGTATAAAGAGAAATAAAGAATTGTATTATTGATTCATGTATTGATATATATTACAATGATTCATGATTCCTATATATAGAAGAGGGTGAGTGTGTAGTAGGTAAGGAGTAGGTGAAGTGGAGGTGGTAGTGGTGTAGTGGGTTAGGTTTAGTGGAGTAGGTGAGGTGGTAGTGGTGTAGTGGGTTAGGTTTAGTGGAGTAGGTTTAAGTGGGTGAAGTAGGTGGAGAGTAGGTGGAGTGGAGGTGGTAGTGGTGTAGTGGGTTAGGTTTAGTGGAGTAGGTTTAAGTGGGTGAAGTAGGTGGAGAGTAGGTGGATTTTAACATAGACAAAAAAATTTGCTCCTCCCTTTAAATTGTAGAAAATCTCATTTTTTACCCCGGAGTACCCAAAAACGTATCCATCACGTACCCATCATTATACTGATCGTATACCACGTACCCAGTGCGTTTTTGGCGTACCCGGTACGCGTGCAACCATACCGGTACGCGTACTTGCACCCGGTACTTGTACGGCAACATTTTTGGAGTACCCATGCTTCATAGATTACCAAAGATGTTGAGAGATGCAATTTTATTGAGCATTCAATTGCACCACATGTCATTTTGTTCATCAATTTGATTTTTTTATATCAAAAGAAACTTAAGTTGGAGGTATCAAAATGGTCCTTCTATTAGCCATCCTTTAAATCATTAACGCTGAATGCTATGTGGTTTTTCCATATCATCTGGTTGTGCTGTGGTGGTTTGCTTTTTTATAGGAGTGGTTGATATTTGGATCTATCCTTTATATTTACCCAATCACTCACATCCTGATTTATCATGAATATGCTGGCTCGTACGGTTGCATATTCATGATTTTGTGAGATCTGCATTCACAAATTTCTAGGCATATAAAATCTTCTATACTGGTCTCAAGTGACATGTTTTCAGTTTTTTACATTTCCAAGTTCCAACACATATGCTTTATACCTTGTTTCAATTTATAATATAGTTTTTTAGAAGATTTCTACAATAAGATGGTATAGCTTGCTCAAAATTTGTCTCATGTGAGCTGATCTGAAATGGGAAATTGTATTTTTTTTTACCCTTATTTATATGTTGATACCAATAGCTCACTCCATTAATGTTGAAAAATTTACAGAAGTGAAAGTGGTTGTTGTCTTTGATGCCATGATGTCTGGACTCCCCACACACAAGGAAGATTTTGCTGGGTATTGTTTTGTAAACCTAAATTATATGAATTCTTATTTAGCAATCTTGTCTAGCTTAATTATCTACTAGTTCAATATCAAGAAGAGAATGTTCGTGTGCTATTTTATTGTGTCATGGGGAGATGTTCATTATGCTCAGTCAGCAAATTGTGGTCACTGATTTAAAAGATAAGGGACTTCCTTATCTGCTTCCAGTACACATTAGATTATGCACTCAAAACCGTGCAATTGACAAGTCATCGCTAAATTCTCAATCTCCCTTTGCTAATCATACCTTAATTTTAATTCTTGCAACTTATACTAGAAAATTTCCCCCACACTTGGGAATGATAAATGTATTTTCTTCAGTAATGATTAGATTTCAGATGATATGTCATAAATTTGAAATATCAAGATTGCCATGCAAATCATGTGATTCTGAGACTTGTGAGTTGTGCCATTAAATTGGATGTTAATAATGCTAATATACTTTATGTAAATATTTGCAACATTGTGTGCTTTCAATAGTTCCTTGCAATTAAATAGTATATGCAATGAATTTCCTTCAGATCTTTCGGCATTTACAGAATTTATTTAATTGTAAACAATTGTTGGCTATTACCCACAGAGGTTTTGATTCAAAGCGACATCTTCATTCTGCTCCCTAATGTGGTTGGTTGTATGCTCTTCAACATACCCCATTGATCATTTAATAGCTTCCTTTCAAGTCTACATATGTTTTATTTTAGGGATTCAAGCAATTTGTCATTTTAAACTCTGGCTATATTGTTTGTGAAATGTTGCACTTTAAGCTGACTGAAGGACACAAAATAGCATTGGTCCTTTGTACTCATTTAACATGCATTTTCCTCTTTTTTTTTTTTTTTTTTTTTTTTTTTTTTTTTTGACTTACACACAGAGACTAACAAGTCCTGTTTTCATTACGCAAGTTTTACTTGAATGGCTATTTTATAAAGCTTAGTACAATATGGAAGGCTTTATTGTAATAGTTATGTCGATGATCCTGAAAGTGATTGAATTTCCTTTGAACCTTCTCTGTCAATATTCTTGGAGCTGCATTGAGTTTGGTGTGATTTAATGATATTTCCTTGTGAGTGATAAATCCAACAGTTCTAATGTAAAGATTTCTTAATGTTACAGTATTGATATAGTATTCTCAAGTGAGACATGTGCTGATGCATGGATTGAAAAAGAGGTGAGAACCAAAGTCAAGCTGACATATGATATCAAATTCATGTGTGTACTTTCTAAACAATCTATAAAAATCTTATTGGTGGTTGGACATGCTCTTCCATCAGTCTTTTCTGTTTTATGAATAATAATTCTGGTGAGTGTTTCACCCAAAAATTTATAAATATGTTAAGATTGGTGTACCGTGTATTCTTTAATACCATACTTTCAACTGTTGAAAACATTTTCTCAATCTGTAGGATAACCTGTGAAAATTGCACTAAAGGTATGTTACTCGGGATATTCTAAATTTGTGAATTACCCATCGTGGACACTTAAGGGTATGGGATATCTGTATGTTATGTCTAATTGGAGATGCACCCAACAAGTATGTATAAATAGTCAAGTTTACTATATAATCATGCATAAGACTTTTATTATAGTATTTTAGTTTGTAGACATCATTTTACCCTCAAACAATAACATAATTCCAGTTAACTTTATCTCCTATTTGCGTCATCTCTATACCATTTCACAAGAAGGCTCTAAGTATGTTTTCATTGTCCATCAATACTTTTTGGGGAAGAATGAAAAGAAAGCTCCAATATACGTGGATGCTATATATGGCACAGTATTAACACTGATTTGATCAGTTGAAGCCTCCATGAGTAATTTGCTTGTCCATGAGTAATTTGCTTGTCCAGCATGCAATTCTTCTCAAATGTTTTTCATTGAGTTTACTATCCTCAGCCTTGAGCCTCATAATATAAATGGAAAAAGGTACCCCTAAATATTTGACTGGTATGTGTAAATTTGGTCCAATATACTCCAATGCGACATAGCACTGATTTGCTTGATGCTCATCTTAGTTTCAGCATTTTATCCTTCCCTTTTAAGCATTGTTTTACTTAACAGGTTGTGGCCTTGAAGGAGGATGGATGCCCAAAAGTTTGGGTTGTGACATCTGATCATTGTCAGCAGCAGGCAGCACATGGAGCAGTATGCATTTCTCTTGATAGATTTCTTCCATATTGAATCACGATGATTGTGTGTTTGTGATATTTTTTGTTAAGCCATTGTGTTAATTCTATATCGAGATTTAGTTATTAGCTCATAAAACTCACCTGGTGCATGGATATAACTTGCATACCAAGAACGATACGAATTCCTTCCAATTCTCGTCATGCATGTCTTTTGATAACTATTGGCAGTAAAGGTTATGCATATGAAGTTCATATCTGCATCATAAATTTATTGTATTTGGTCTCTTAGCTCCTATAGATTTCATTGTCCTTTTCATTTTTTTTAATTTTTTTTGTAAGTGCAGTTAAGTCTTTTGCATTGATTATGGGGGATTAGCCATTCGTGTTTGGTGGATTTATTGGTCTTATATGTGTTACTTAGAAAATTCATGGGAAATTTCTGGTACGCAAATCACATAATAAGGTTAGTTTATAGAATTTTTCGCAGTTACCCCAAAAGTTTAATTTGTTAGAGATAGTGTAACTTCTGTACTTTTATACTCAATTTGTGCCCTCATATGTGACCAGACTTCCCATGAGTGGCTGGTGGCAGGACTTCCCCGACCAGAGTGGGCCAAACACATGCAAGTATTATAATTATTAGGTAGGTGGTGAGATTCCAAAAGCTTGAGTTGTTAGAAATGGTCCAACAATTTATATCAACCTCGTACATCCTCCCTCACTGGCGATTCCAACTCCTTTGCACACATGGAGAGACAAACTAACTTGAAGTCACAAACTAAACTAAATAGTGTGCAAACCTCATGGAACAAAATGCACAACAAAAAACAAAATGGGGAACAACTAGATACAATGGGACGTGCACTTAAAGAATTTCTGGGACCAAGGCTCTGATAGCATGTTATATCATTAATTACACCTTAAGAAGTTAGAGAATAAATGGTGTGAAAGATTTCAAGTTGCCTATATTTCTAAACAAAACAAACCTTTACGAGTCAGTTGAGGACCAAGGGTTGTTAGATGGTCCTTGCGAAGGTGTTGATGACTAATGATTTGGTAATTGCTTTTGACTTGAAGCTTTTGCTTCTTCACTGTTTATTTTTTAAAGTAGGGTTGGAGTTGCATTTGGAGAATGTTTGGGCCCCTTTTGTATGTTTTTCTTCTAACTGTGCTTTGGAGGACTCTAGCTTTTGCTGCAGGTTTATCTGGCTGTTATACCCAGTTTGCTTTAATAGTTTGGACTAGGGCTTTAAACAATGTGGAGGCCTGGTTGGCTAAAGCGGGTGCCTAAGGTCAGTGCCAAGACTCTTGATACTGGTGTTGGATGCCTACTTGACTTGTAGATCGACACCCATTTTTATGCAAAGAAATTTGGGTTCCTATATGGCACATTTAGTTGTAAGTCCATCGTTGGAGGGTGGGGGTTGGTTGGTGCAAGATGAGGAAATTGTTACAAATGGTTCACCTTTTTGCTGCTTATTAAACACAAAGGAAAGTAAAAATAAACACAAAGCTTTATGTTTTTATTTCTGCTGGATGATACGTAAGGGGAAGAATGTAGAAATTGCTACTATATCACATAGATTCTTCTTCAGGAACAAGAGATAATCTTTTTCAACAGGACTTTATGCATCCCCTGGTTTATATACTGATTGATATGGTGCCATTTTAGTTAATACCATGGTAACGTAATCTGTTTCCTAAGAGTGAAGTATGTAAACTTCTCAGCAGTTCTTGTTGTCTTGTAATCTTGTTGCTTAGGTGCTTAACCATAATTAATCACTAATGACTTGAAGCCTTCACTTATTGTCATAAGCCAAGATATGAATTTATTTAATTTAATTGAGGATATAGCCCTGCATAGAACTGAATGGCGAAAAAAGATTCATGTAGCAACCCCACTTGATTGGGTTGGGGTGGGACACAAGACGTAGCCAGATATATGGAAATGCTTATTGCTTCCTAGTGCCTCATTCAAGTCATTGTTTTGCCCCATCTGATATGAAATTTATGCATTCTAGTCTGCTCATTTATCAACTTTCTTCAAGTACATTATGCTTTTCTTCCATTTCCTTCCCCTTACTTTTAGTCTTTTAACCTTCTTATTGTAGGGTTTATATCAAATTAGGTGAGATGTTCAGTATATACTGCATTTTAACTGTACATCTTTGAAATGTGTCTGGTTGAAACCTAAAGTCTTATGTTGGTGGTTGCCCAGTGACTTGTCATGCATGGTTCAGGCAGTGGCAGTCTTATCTATGCCTTCAACAGCTGAAAAGTAGTCATAGATATCTCTGTATAAATCTTTTGCCAAGTGGCTTGCTTCATCTTGGTTGAGTCATTCCATTAAAGGCCTGATGCTGATGGGTCTGTTTTTAACTGTTATGATGTATTTCCAGGGAGCATATGTTTGGAGTTGTAAGGCCTTGGTTTCTGAGGTAAGGCATTTAGTCTCAGTATCATATGCTCTTCATGTTGCTTGGATTTGAAATTTTAGTTCATAAAACCCAATAAAACCTTGTTTCAACTATCAAGCCAATCTTTGGTTTTTTGTTGCCATACCAACACCCCCAATATGGACAATCTCACTTTTCGTCACTTCTGTTTCCTAGCATTTTAATGAGATCATACAATACTGTTATGAACTCTGTCCTCTTTTATCTCTACCTTTCCGTAAATGATGAGATTAGAAGACTAAGTTGCTCCAAGTTATCTCTCGGATCAAAATATTGTTTATTTGAACTATGTTCCCATTAATTTGCTTTGGTCATGTCTCCTAAGGGTCATTGTCCCTATGATAACTGACAAATAATGTAATTTATACATGGGTATAGTGGTGGTTAGTCAATAAAAAATTAGTTAACCTATTGATGGCAATAACTTATGCGGAATAATGATTGCTTAGCCACATATTAAAGTAATCAATAATTAAAACAATCTTGAGAATCACAAGTTAGGGTTATTATATATTTTATAATTTTATCATGTGCTCCTCCTCAATGTCTCGTGTAAAATGTAGATTAAAGCTTCAAAGAAGGAGGTTGAGAGGATGCTTCGAGAACAACGGTATGTTCTGTTATATAATGTTGCCATTTTCGTTTTTTTTCTCTTCCAAGTGAGTATTTGAAAATTGATACATCTATGCCATGCTCCGTGTTTTGTACATAGCCTTTGAACTTGGAATTGTTTGGTCATGATCTAAAATGAGTTCAAGTATAACTAAGGGAATTCTATTCTCATTGACCAATTGCGGAGATTATAAGTGTGTTAGATGATGCATGCTGATGAAATATGGAGGCTTTTTCATTTTACACAAGTTTAAGGTTGCAGTGTGGATGACCTTATTTTCGTTATTAACTACGAATATTAATGTTGTGTTTGGATCTTGGATTTGGGGAGTGATTTGTGGAGGGGAAAGAAAAGAGAAGGAAACTGAAAAAAATTAGCTTATATTAAATTCACAATTCTATTACCTTTTCGTTTCCTTCCACAAATCCAAACACAATCTAAAGAAATTGTTTTCAGTTTCAAGTGCTCAAATTTTTTGACTGAACTCCCAAAGCTACCAAATTGAGAACTTAGAATATCTGATTAAGTGTCCCTGGTTGAATTATCTTTTAGCCAAGATGAGGTTTCAACCTTGAACAGTTTTAAGGACTACATCAAACATTGCAAAAGTCATGCACCTTAAAACAAAGAATTATTGAAGTAGAAATATCTTTTTAATTTTTTTTTAGCCAAGATGAGATGTCGTTGATTATGTTTTTATGATTTGTAAGTAATGAAGCAATTTCAATCTTGATTCGACGTGTTGTTAATCAGTTGTGTGCACCTTTCCAGAACATCTTCCATGCAAGGTAAATTGCTAAAGCATAATCTTGATTCAGAAGTCGTAGATGCTCTCAAGGATCTGAGGAACAAGCTATCTGAAAATGAGTCAAAGTAGCCGATCAGGTTCTCCGTCTGTCTGACGATGTGCTCTGCTTTGACAATACACTTAATTCTTCGATTTAGGCTTGCCTAGCTTCTGTTTTAAGAAATGGAAAGTATGCTGCACGTAGAGGCCACATAGTTTTAAGTAGTTCATGTTGTAAAGCATATATATACAGCCTGTTTTGTAGATTGTAATTTGATAGATGCAATTTTATGGGTTCTGGTTTATAAACTTCATGCCTAACTTGTTAGAGAAAAATGGCATTGTATGCATTTGCTTTACAGAAAAGCTTAGTGTACCCTGAAAAGTATGCCGAAAATAAAGGGTATGATGTAAATTCAAACATGTGTGATATGAGAAACATTCCGGATAAATTGGGTCTATACATTTCATTTTTGAAGTACTTTTTCTAGGAATTTAGGTCTTCTTCGTTACATGATTGGATTGAAGATCTTCATTCATTCTAACACCACTATCTTCATTGGGCTGCCATTGATTTCATGGCCATTGCCGCCACCTTCACCTCTACCACCTCACCATCACAACGTAAAAATTGAAAGATGCAATTTAAAAATAATAAATAATAAATTTTAAACTTAGAACTTGTTTGGGAAGTGAGTTGACTTTTTGATTTTTTGACTTTTTTGACCTGGGGTTAAAAAGCGTGGTTTGAGAAGGGCTTTTGGTTTTTTTGTGAGAGAAAGAATATGATGATTATGGGTTGAATATGATATTTTATCTTATTAGATTAAAAAGTTTATTTTGTTTTTTATGGCTATTTTAGTCCAAAAAACCTCAAAATCAACTTCTCAAACGGAGGCTTAATATTGTATATAATTTGAATTTGGGAGAAAAAAAAATTTAAGGTTTGAGCTTTGTAATAGTTAAACCTTAAATTTTTAATTTTGTCAATTCAAATCTTATCTTTTAATTTTTTTTTAATCTCATTTCTCTATTTTTTGTTAAATAAAATTAATGAAAATAATGATATTTTAGTCATTAAATTTAATAAGAATTGATATTTTAGACATTTTTTTATACATTTACATTGAATATAATAACTAAAATATTATTTTTTCGTCAATTTTACTTTACGAAAATAGACAAATGGTTTAAATTAAAAAATAAATCAAAATATTAGAGTTTTAGATAAATAAAATTAAAAATTCAAGATTTATTTTATTACAATGTTCAAACTCTAGTATGCGCGTGTGTGTGTGTTTATTTATTTATTTATTTATTTATCTATTGGGATTCTCCCTTTTAAATTTCTATCAAATAGTATTTTAGCTAAAAAAAATTGTTTGGTAACCCTTCTCTTTTTAGTTTTCTATTTATATTTACAAAATTTTTAAAAACTATCATATATACTTGTTGAGTAAGTTTTTGAGTTTATAAACAAGTTTCTCAAATTAAAAATTAAGTTAAAAATCATAAACTGAAAAGACATGTTTGTAAAAGTTTAAGGAAAATTTACCCATAAGTCCTAGTTTTTGAAACGTTGAACCATTTAGTCCTAAAAGTTTTCTTATGCTCCATTTAGTCCCATTTTTACATCAACATGATGTGAATGATGTAAATGATCTGATGTTTCATTCTATAATTTCAAAATTTATTGAAATCTGATGAACATTAGATGTTTTTCATCCTATATTTTCAAACATTATTGAAATTTGATGAACATTAGATGTTTGAAATCCAATATTTGTAACATGACTCTGATGTTATTAACATTGTATCTGATGTTATTAACATTGTAATGGGACCTTTCAGTCTATAAAAAAACTTTTAGGACTAAATAGTGCATAAGTTATTAATTTGAGATTTATTGATGCATCCCCCAAAGTTTAAAAACTGAAGAAAAATGTAGTAGGAACATGGAAGCAATGCACAAGGAATGTAGTAGGATCTTGTGCTATTCGAACCACGGGAGTAATATTCGCGGAAGCGTTTTTTGTTTTTAAATTTTATAAAATATTTTATTCAAATTACACGTGTTTTTAATTTTTATTTTTCAAAAATAAACAAAAATCAGTTTATAATTTTTTTTATAAACATAGGAGAACACTTAAATGTTACCAAATCCAACCTCAGCATTCAGTTTAATTTTTAACTTTTAATTTTATCAAACACCAATCTCTCATTGATTGAAAAAAAAAGGAGAGAAAAAAAGAAAAAAGAGCAAGATGAAAATTAATGGGCTGGAACTGCCAAAGCCCAACAGACCAGATGTTGAACAGCCTGAATACCAACTTTCTACCACAGCCAGAACATGGAGGAGGATAACTCTACTTCCATCAAAGTACCAAACTAAATTTTGTCCAATATTCTATTGTCAGCAATAGTCTCAATATTTGTCTCATCATGAGTGAGTTTCTCATGCATTTGCTCCCTGTAAATGTTGAAATGACTTAATTACCCCCACCATTTGAACAACATTAATCTGACCTGGTGGGCCTTTATAAATTGCAATATTAAGGGCCAATAACACTACATATTTAGAAAAATCATTTTAGGTATAATTTATATTTTATTAATTTTAAATTTATATTATCCATCTCATTTTGGGGCAAAGTTTCATGCTCCCTAGCATATTCCATTAAGAAATGTAACACACTAAGTTGTGTTGCATATTGAGAAAAAGTGCTCAAAATTTAAATATGTGGACAAAATTCATGTATTTATAGCCCACAACAGATTCACTTTAAACTTACACTATGCACTTTACTTTCATGGTAGGATTATGAGGTTTTTTTTCATGGTTCCTAGAATTATTGGGGCTGCAAGCTTGCAAGCTAGGTTGGGTTACCGTTATCCAAAAAGATGGGGGTGTATATCGTTTATACATTCGTAATTATGGGTAAATTAATTTTAAGATTCTTAGATTGTATTTGGATCATAAAATTTGAAAAAGTAATTTTTTTTTTTAAAAAAAATATTATATTTCATTCACATTTCTCACACCTTATTCTTTATTTTTTCAAAATTGAAAATTCAAAGGAGTCTTAAATATATTATATTGAATAGAAGACATTCATTTATGCACACATTAGGAAGACAACCTGGTTAAAAATTTGTGGACAACAATGTCATATGTACGTAAAGAGGTGTCAACTTCTAGCTGAGACTCACGAGATTCCTGCCTGCCCCATTAAACTCTGTGACAATACATACATATATAGAGAGAGAGAGAGAGAGGTGGGCATAATAACAACAACAACAACAACAAAAACAACAACACCAACTGATAGGAAAGAAGAAGGGACAGTTGAAGGAAGTGGGCTTTGCTTGTTCTTGTACCAGAGACTACCAGTGTTAGTTACTTCCTCTCTCCTCCTACAGTCTTAACTTGGGAAGAAAATATATTATTAATGGTGACTCTTTATTATTGTTATTATTATAAAGTCTGACAAGTCAAGAAATGGTCAGAGGGTCAAAATGTTGACTCACTACTCCTTT